TGCAGGCGACCCAGCCTGTCTACTGTTGGGGCAGTCCTTCATCTGATGGCCCCTTCCGCCACATACAAAACAAGCTCCGCCGCTATTTGGGTAAGGTCCATTCCCGTGCCTTCCTCCACATAGCCTACGCGGGGCATTCTGGTAACGGTTTGGCTTCCTAATATTCCTCCGAACGGGAGGGACAAAGCGATTATTCCTTGCCATGGGTCTTTTCCCAAGTTGACGGTCATCCTTAGCCGGGGCATACCGCGATCCAGAAGCGGCAGCCCGATCCGTTTGATCTCGCTCAATTGCCTGAGCCCTTTCATAAATCTCATTATAGCCTCTCAAATTCAATGAGATCATCTGACTGCGAAGGTCCGGCTTCAGCCCATCCCGGAACCTCCTAGCTTTGTCCATTTGGTCCTCCACCATTCTAGGGGCAAATTTGGACAGCCTTGCAAACTCGGCTTCATACTGATCTACTGACCTCTGACCCTGGCGAAGTCTCATGAATTCAGCCAATTTTTGTTCTCGAGCACTTTCCGAGAAATACTTGCCATTGAAGGTCTCGGTAAAAACAGTCCAATTCGGGGCAGTACCAGCAGGGAACACTTGACCCCTGGTGGCTCTCCACCAATCGCTTGCATTTTCTTGAAGCTGGTAGACTGCTAGGGTTACTTTCTCCTCTTCAGTGCATCCCAGTACTTCAAACGCTTTCTCTAGCTCTTCTACCTATCTTGGTGCAGTCTCAGAATCGCCTCTCCCATCAAACTTCGGGGGTTTCAACCTTAAAAACTGTTCGACCAACTTGGACATTAGCCCGATTGCTTTTACTCGCACTAGACCAGAATTTCCACCAATCACATTATTCCCCTGATTTCCATTATTCCCAATAATCTCGTTGGCAGCTACAGCGGCGACGGTAGCACTCCTTTCTCCCATCTGTCTACCCGATAATAATCCCACTTCCTCAAGTACCCTCCACATTTCATCTAACCTGGGATCCTCCACAACTCCAGCTTATGGGGCTACACGACCTCGACCTCGACCTCCACCTCGACCTCTACCTCGACCTCGACTGCTCATCTTACCAGATCTCACAAATGCTCACCTGCTAAATTCCACGCAATAATTAGAATCCTAGGCCAACTATACCAGTCTAAACCCTAGGCAGTGAATCACAACACAATTCACCAAGCAGGCAGCCAATCACAAACAACACCCAATCACAACCAACATAGTTCGTGCACTTACCTCAAGTCCTGACGCACCTGCACCTCACATATTATTGCATACGTCACTCGGCAATCACAATCAAACAGTCTGGGGTACACATGGCACACGAGTCTCCCTAACTAGTTACCCCAAAGTCATCGCTCCTTATCACTCCAGGTTTCGACCATCATGGATCGAGCTGACCTTGCTCTGATACCAAATCAACTGGGGTGTCACGCCCCAAATCCCACCGGGCTCGCGACACCCCTTCGACAGTCGTATTGATTGCGACGTCCCAGAACGCGTCGCCGACCCCAAACGAAACACCCAAAGTCGAATGCAGGCGTAAGCGAAATTTAAACAACCCAGATAATTAATAATGACAACGGGGTAGAACAAGCACGAATTAATAAACTCATAACATTAGCTTGAAATCACAAATATTCATACATTAGGCCTCTAGGGTTCAAATCCACCTTCGTCATTAAAAAGGAATAGGTGGCCGCGTAGACTGCTAACTGCACAAAAATAGATTCTACCAAAAAGGTTTCCAGGCCCAACTCCTAAATATCCCTATGGCGCCCAGTCCGAATCGGACCCTGAGGGTTCTGACTCCGTGTCCTAGTTGATCTCAATCGGCTCCTCCTCCTCATGCTCGGACACCATAGGCTCCTCTTCGGGCTCGGGCTCGAGCTCCGGTACAGGCTCAGGTTCAGGCTCTGGAACGGGCGCTGGTTCTGGACCAGGGTTCTCCAGTGGGCTGTCGGGATCTGACACCTCGCCATCGGTAGTAAACTTGTCCCAGGGCTCCCAATTTACCGCACCCTCGTTGGCATGCTGCAACCCCTCAAAACCTCGGATTGGCCTCGAATTCACCAACCCGACCCGATGGGACCAAGCCAAATAGGTATGGCGTTCCAGCTCCTCTAGTCCCACGTCTACCCAAACAGTGGTACAATGCCTAATGTAAGTCTCATCCGGGTTCAGTCTCGGGTATTTGTTCTCCTCATGCACCGTATGCATGGGAACCCCAAAACGCCTAGGTGGCGACATGCTCAAGGTCGGTGATCTGAAAATGTTTGCACTACAGCAATGAGAATAAATCTCAATAAGCAGACAATCTATACCCCACCTAGGCCAATGCGTACCCAGACAAGTCTAACATGCAATTTGCCAGCCAACACAATCAATTCCACACGACATGCTTACCTGCCTCGAACTACGTGCCAATCCTGTATATTAGTCCAAACATGATAATGCAATAATAGTTCACAACCATATCACAATCACTCGGGTATCATACCCACTTGCATTCAACCAATCCAGCCAAACACCCACACGTGTATTCAGCCAATCCAACTGGTCATATTATGCACACGCGTCCAACCAACTTTCTCACGACCAACGTCAACGCGCCTCAGGTCACATCTTCCTCTCACGGACCACCGTCAACACGTCTCAAGTCCGTTCTCACAAACACTCAAGCCACACAATTCAATCAATTCCAATGACCGCCGTCAATACGTCCCAGGTCAAACTTTCCTTTCACGGACCACCGTCAATACGTCTCAAGTCCGTTCTCATAGGCACACAAGCCACACAATTCAATCACGAGCTTATCACACCAGCCCACCAATCCGACACTCAAGTCGGCCCAATCACACGTTAATTTCACCCACAAGCGCCACGACAATTCGATTATCGTACCCACATAAATTAGCCACTAAACATGCCACAAATCACCACAATCCAATCCACCAATTAATCACATTTGTAAATTGGCTCGAACCCAAATTTACCCACTAATCCAGTACTAATCACACCCTAAACAAGTCTAAAATTACCCATTATACTAAGTAGGGTTTAGGAAGTTGCTTACTTGGTTTTGGCTCGGAGAAAATCGGCTCGGGCCTAAAATGGCCCGGGTGAACAGTGCTAGGCTAGGCACGGGCGCGGGCTAAACGGGCGCGCTGACAGGCCAACACGGGCACGGTGGCCGAACGGTGCGCCTGGCGCACAGGCGCGGTGGCCGAACGGCGTGCCTGGGGCGCACGGGCGGACTGGACGGGCGACAGCGCCTGGATGACGGGCCGGGCTGGGCCGGGTGACGCGATGCCTAGCGGCCGGGCCACGGGCAGGCGGCGTGCGCAAGCAAGGCCGGACGGGCGAGCGGGCAATGGCTAGCTGGCCACAGGGCGACTTGGGCGACTGGGTGGGAATTTGGCTGGCCGGCCAGGCGAGCCGTGTGGGCCGGTGAGTTGCGGCGGTGATGGCGACAGCGACGGCGACGCGGCGGCGACGGCGCGGAGGGGAGGGGAAAGTCAGCCGGGGGTGGTGATGGCGAGGGAGAGAGGGAGAGAAGCTTCGGGCTGAGGGGGGGCGACGGCGGCGATGGGGCGGCATGGCGCGGCGGCTGGCGACGCACGGCCGGCCGGCGAGTGGTTGAGCAGCACCGGCGAGCTGCAGGCGCGGTCGCGAGTTGGTGGACAGGGGCGACGGGCGACGGTGGGGCTCGGCTGGGGGAGGCAAGGTGGCGGTGGCTGGGCTGGGGCGACGGTCGGGCGGCGAGCAGGGCCGACAGCACGGCGGCATCTCGGGACGGACGAGCTCGGCCCGGCGAGTTGAGCTTGCAGCTGGGCGAGACTCACGGCGGCGAGCTGCTGTTGGGCAGCGACAACGACAGCGACGGTGGGGGTCGCGGTGGCGCAAGGCGGACGGCGAGGTGGTCGGCGGAGAGAGGGAGGCGAGCGGCTGAGCAGAAGCAGAACCAGTCAGGGCCGGGGGAGGAAGAAAGGAAGAAGAAGAAGAAAGGAGGAAGAAGGAGAGAGAAGAGAAGGGACGTTGCATGGGGGAGGGGACGCGCGGGCAGGGGGGAGGGGACGGGCGCAGAGGGGAGAGAGAGAGAGAGAATATCCTAAGTAATAATCACGATCCAACGGCTGTCATTCGAATCCGAAAACGATTTAGCGTCCCACGAAAATCCTAATTAATAATTTAGGAAAAAAGGCCAAAAGAAAATAATGCAAAACACATTACGAGGGAGGTCTACTAGTCCAAATTCGCACCCGGTCAAAAATCCACTTTTCACATATCCCGGGCGATCTCGAGGCTAGCCACAATAATATCGACACCGTCCAATTAAATTCGTCCCGGAACTCCGAGAAATTCGACACCAAAGTTTGGGCTCTAAATAACGGTCAAATTCGATCGAGTGCGATTCTAGCGAAATCTCTAATTTAAAAATAATAACCCAAGAGTGATCAGTTCCGGACGAGATTTTATTATAAGTACACTGACAAATTACACGTTTTATAAATCCCAAAGATGGGCTGAAATTCGGAATGTCACAGTGCATGTCCATTTTTAAGATGTATTATAGTCATATGATATTCCAAAACCTTACAAAATCATTATTGAAACTAGTCAAGATAACTACCGATCAATCTTACAAATATTTTACTTTTCAAGAGGGAATGCGAAATTCTCTTATTTTCAATCATTTGAATTCCTTTCCGAAATCAACTTACATTTTAAAATATTTATCTCTTTTCGCATAGGCTCAAATTCGTTTCCCTTTTTATGCACACGCATAAATGTGTGGCCTTGGGGGGAAAGAAGTAGAGGAACACTGAAACTCTGGATCTATTTCAACGAAGCGTTAGGCATTTCTGTTGGTATGCATGCCCGTGCACCAGAGAGGATAGAAGTTTAATTTAATCGATCTGTCCTTGTTTTCACAGTTGATGATGCCACCAAAATCAATATGAACGCGAAGAGTTGATGCACCATGGAAGGACTTTGCATCATCCCATCAACTCCGCAACCCATTTAGACAGCATTTCATCAGAAATCCACCTGTTTTGATTCCCTCCATCTTCATCGCCCTCGAAGAGCTCAAAGTACTGGTTCTCAGACATGCACTTATCCTCCACATTGAGGTCCATCATCATGTCTTCCCATGAAATTGTGTCGTCCTCGCAATCTCCTCCCTGACCCTTCCCTTCAACCGATTCCATCATTCTATCTGAAATAACGCCTTCTGAATTACACAGCTTACTGTCACGATCTGCATCGCATCGTGATTCGGCCGCGGAGGTCCTGTTCATGGGTTTGTCCTTTGTGAGCTTATTATCCTCGCATTTTGAGTTCATTGGCGGGTCACCGTTGTCTCGGACTAGCTTCTTCTTTATGGTGGAGTTCCAGTAATTCTTTATCTCATTATCTGTTCGGCCAGGAAGCCTTCCCGCGATAAGAGCCCATCTACAAGAAAACAAACTAACGCATGTCAGTGCCAATCTCAATAATGTTCTTTTGGAACTGAAAATGGCTTTGAGAAACAACATGGTCAAGTACCTCTCTTTGTTTAAAGGTAAATGACATAGCAAATTATCATCACCTTCAATAACTCCTTCAAAGAACAATCTCAAAGGTATGATGAGCTCATCACTTAAAGTATACAAATAATACCTGTTGCCCAGGAGCTTATGGAGCCTAATGATGAGCTCTTCTTCTTCAGGTGATATGTTTCCTCTCTTGATATCTGGTCTTAGGTAATTTAACCACCGGAGCCTACAGCTCTTTCCACACCTCTTGAGGCCTGCACATCAATTTTATGTATTATCGAATGTGTCACATGTGTCACATGTGTCACATGTTTGCACGTCACCCATAAAGTTTTTTCAGGCATTCAAGATCTATTGAAAAAATGATATATTGGACCTTATATTCATATATCGAATGTGGGACTATTTGTTTTCATTGATGATACTAAGCAACATGTTGGTGCACTTAATAAATAACCCGTGTTTTTGTAAGTTCAGACACGCACTCCTATTATTTCTTTTTCTCTTTGGAACATTTATAACCGTCAGTTTGCAAAGAGAAAGATAGTAAAATCCAAAATGCCTTAACTCACCTGTTGCCTTACGAACTTTGTTCCATCTCCCTTGACCATGAACTTTCACGTAATTGATGAGGATTTGGTCTTCTAGAGCCGACCAAACTCCTTTCTTGAACTGCAATCCATCTTTACCACTACTAGGGTTTCTGCCCATCTCTCTCTCTCTCTCTCTCTCTCTCTCTCTCTCTCTCTCTCTCTCTCTCTCTCTCTCTCTCTCTCTCTCTCTCTCTCTCTCTCATTTTAATGCTAAACTGTCTCGATGATGACTGATTATATAGAGACTCTTTCATGTTGATGTTGAACACTGCTTATTATATTAAATCACGATGTCCTCGCTGAGAGAGAGAGGAGAAAAGAATTGTTATCTTTAAAAAGAAAAGCAACATGCATTTTTAAGGGAGCCAAAAAGTTTTGAGACAGTCACATGCAGTTTTGATATACTATAGGGAATCGAGTAAAGGTGTGGTTTTGACCGGTAGATATGGTTTGCCTATAATTTCAAGGACGAGATCCATTTAAATTGAATTGTTCGTATGGTTGTTGGTTCACGCAGATTTTTCTATTTAATTGCACTCATGAGTTCGCTGCATTCAAAGAATTTTTAAAAGGCCTAAGACAAAAGGTTTTAACTAACCTAGCCATTTCGATAGTAACTCGACGGGATCTTTTTGAGTTACTAACTAGCAATTTATCCTTGACTTGTCGACTACCCGACCCCAACTTTTCGAAAAGTGGAGGCTAGCCAGGTTTGAGTGATGAGTAATCACTTGTAAAATTTATGTAATCACTTTGAAATTTATAGAATTGGTCAAACGAATAAAACCCTAATCTAATTGAGTCTCGATTCAAGTGGGCACCCCGATATCTAAAATGAGTATAACACAACATCGCAATGCTTAATCGCAACTTAGAAATGTAATTCTGTAGTCAAATAGTGTTTGTGTTGAACAATACAAATGTATTTAAAACCTATAAAACCAAAAATCACGAATTTTTATGTTTCTTTAACCGATAGAATCCTAAGCTAGAGCTTGAGTTTTGAATTGAAATCTCGTTTTTCAATCACCGAGCTATCTTATTGTTAACTCTGAACACCTAGATAGAAAGCATATCGAGTCAAGCTGAAGGTTGAGGTTGAGAAACCAAGTTTGACATAGGCCAATCTTAGACATCAATCTCAAGTCAAGTTTGCGCTGTATATTGAATAAAATCGACTTGGGTTAATCTTACCTCCTTTCTTATAGTGTCAGGACCTCTCACTCGAACCTCCATTGATTTCATTAACCCCCACAAGTCGATTAGTTTAACACCATGAAGAGAATAACCTCCGGCGACTGAACCCTAAAATATTCCTCGCAGCATAAACCAATCAAAGATCGATATGTTCCCAAGAACACGGGAATTTAGCTGGCCCTTTTTCCTTTTATACTAAACAACCCCCGTGTTCAACCAAACCTCGGATTCCATCCCTTTATGTCGTGTTTGCTATCTTAATGTAGACACGTGTTTCGCCACATTAATTTTATATACAGCAACCAAGTACAGCTCAAAGAATATCTGACTTCCCCAACTCATTAAGCCATGGATCATGTGGAGAAAGTTTGATGTCTATATTGTCGTTTTCTATGTTTCCGGCTGGTCCAGAGCAAAAGGCAGGTGATGTGTAGCGTATGATGGTTTCACGTGTATGATTAGAATGAGTACGATCATCTAAAGAAGAGAGGCGCACAGACTGTGACTTAATTTCTTGGCATCATGTAGGTGTATTTTTTGGTTTCTGGCCGGTTTGGAGAGAGTGATATTACATAGGCTCTCATCTTGTTAGTTGAGAAATTTTTTTGAATGGAGGCTATGTTAAAGACCATTTTATGTATGCATTATCAACTAGTTTCCGAAAACTTTTTACGGAAAATCTCTAGAGCTGATGATTCAATTGGTTAGAGAGGTATTTCCAACTTGAAAATTGGAGGTCATCCGTTCAATTCTCACTAGTAGTGTGCAAAATCCTCTAGGTTAGGGCCACCTACACTAGTCAAAGATTTGAACTTGATCGGTTCACGAGACTTATTAGGTGTTGTAACATAAGATTTCAAGGGAAAAGCATTCGCAGTGTATAATTTCATTGCAAGACTAACATTTCTTACACGTTCCAATGCATCATATATTAGGATTAATTTCTTTTTGAGAAACATCGTAGAAACTAATGTTTGATGAAGTCACTTATTTCTCATTTCAAATTTTCCATTGTATAAAGGAACATATATAGTTGTGTTTATCAATCATAATTACATGTATTTTGCAATTTCGGAGTAAGAGGGCTAGCTACTTAACATTCGCCCCAATTGAAGTCCTGCTAGTAAAGCGAAAATCTTGAAATACTTCATCAAAGCCTTTGTAAACTCTCTAATTTTACAATGATGCTACCGCCGAGGCCCCGGCGACTTCCGCCGGCTCTTTCCGAGAAGATCAACAACAAACGAAAAGAAAAGAAAATAAATAATAAGTTTCTCGAAATAACATTATTTTGAGTGGAGTCCGACACATTAGATCATCAGCCATGTTACGTGGGATGGTTACCGCTGACTGGATCACTAGGTCAGCAATTTCCAATATAAATTGATCAGGTGGACTACATTGAAAAATCTTTAAAAGGATAGGTCCATATTGAACAATTTAATCGATATACATGCACATGCTCCCGGCAAAACAAAAGTTCTAATTAATTAATTTGTCCATAGTATTATTTTGGGGAAAGTGCCAAAAAAGTTCTAAACCTTTTGCATTGATGCCAATTTAGTCCTAAACCTTTTTTTGGTGCCAATTCAGTCCTAAACCTTTTGTATTGGTGCCAATTTAGTCCTAAACCTTTTTTTGGTGCCAATTCAGTCCTAAACCTTTTGCATTGGTTCTAATTCAGTCCTAAACCTTTTGTCTTTGTGTCAATTCAGTCCTTCTGACCAATTTTAGTCGGATTTTTCCGACGTGGATGCCGACCGGCCGGTCATTGGCGCTGACGTGGACAACTTTAATAATATTTTTTTCTTTTTTTTTTTCCCCTCCCTTCCTCCAGCCGGTTACCGGACTGGCGACAGGCCAGAGCCCAGAGGCCGGCGCTAGCAAGGGCAGCCTTGCGCTGGGCGAGGCCCGACCTCACCAGATCTGGCGAGGTCGTGCCTCACCCAGCCGCCGACGAGGCTCAACCTCGCCAGATCCGGCGAGGTCGGACCTCGTCCAGCTGCCGGCGAGGCTCGCCTTCGCCAACGACGGTGAAGGCGAGCTTCGCCATGGCCGGGCAAGGCCCGACCTCTCCAGATCCGGTGAGGTCGTGCCTCGCCCAGCCGCCGGTGAGGCTCGACCTCGCCAGCGACGGCGAGGGCGAGCCTCGCCGGCGGCTGGGCGAGGCCCGACCTCGCCGGATTTGGAGAGGTCGAGCCTCGCCGGCGCCGGCCTCTGGGCTCTGGCCGATCGCCAGTCCGGCGACCGGCTGGAGGACGGGAGGGGAAAAAAAAAGAAAAGAAAAGAAAAATAAAAATTCAAAAAAATATTAAAAAATTATTAAAATTGTCCACGTCAGCGCCGGTGACCGGCCGCTGGCCGGTCGGCGTCCACGTCAGCAAAATCCGGCCAAAATTGATCGGAAGGACTGAATTGGCACAAAGACAAAAGGTTTAGGATTGAATTGGCACCAATGCAAAATGTTTAGGACTGAATTGATACTAAAAAAAGGTTTATGACTAAATTGGCATAAATGCAAAAGGTTTAGGACTGAATTGGCATAAAAAAAAGGTTTAAGACTAAATTGGCACTAATGCAAAAAGTTTAGGACTTTTTTGGCACTTTTCCCTATTATTTTGGGTCGAGGAATGTCTATTAGTCAACTTATGCCCCCAAATTCAATGTAAAGATCTCCAGGTGTCTTCATTAATTGATGTCGGTCGGCAACCAATAATAAACTGCACGTTTTTCGTATTTTACAAAATTTTCATGAAGCTTGATCGGCGCCGTTTCCCACGGTGATCTGGAACAATTTTCCAATCTAGCAGATGACACACTGATCCGTGGATACGGAAAAAAGCATAAACAAAGACTTGAATTAACAAGTCGAATGTCTTATTCTGCCACTGATTTGAGCTCAGCTTAGAAATGAAGAAGCCAATACAACATCTCTATCTAGTGACATGCTTAGGGGTGAGCGAAAGGAATCGCTTGGATCGGGAATTGCCCGGACCTGACGGAACCAATTGATTCTGGCATTTCTCGGGGGCACCGGTCCGGTTCCCGATTTCAATTTTTTGGAACCAGTGATTTTGGGTCCGGTTCCCAATTCCATGTGTGCAACCATCCAGTCAGATCACACGGACTAGATCGATTATTTTTTTTTTAAAATTTCTTATAAATCTGTAAAAACTAAAATGCCCTAATCCATATTCCTTCACAAACCCTCACACTGCTCGCTCTTTCACAAATCTGAAAAAAAAAAAAAAGGTCTAATTGCTCGCTCCAAGCCCAAAACCCCTTCATCTCCCCACTAAATCTCCAGTCCTCATCTCCATGTCGTCCTTGGTCTTGGCTAATCCCTCAGCCAGCGCCGCCAGGCTCGACTGCGATAACAAGCCTGTCCGCGTGGCCTAGAGCTCCAGCCCCGACGACCCTGTTCGTCAACTCATCAGTGGGTTGAGGGGCTCCAGAGTGGAGGGATACGTCGCTTCTCCTCACTCTAGGGCTGTGGTTTCTGAGTTTGAATCGGTTTTAGGTCGACCGAGTAGTGGATGCTTTAAAGGTCGAGAGCTCGGCTTTGCGGTTGCTTTCTTCAATGTTTTAAGGATTGAGTACGGGTTTCGGCATTTGAGGTTCTCTTGGTTACTGGTCTCGCATGTTTTAGCTGGAAGGTGGGAGTTGGGGCGATTGTATTGGGTTCTTCAGCAAATGCTGGAAGAGGAAGGTGATTTTTGAGTAACCAGAATTTTCCCATGTTATAATCTTTGTTTGGTTCTCCTGAGTTGAGTGGTACTCTGAAAGTTTTGTTTAGCAAGATATAGGGGCAAGCAAAGTGAAATAGTGAGCTCCCAAATTCAACACAGAGGAAAAAGAAAAAAAAATATTGGTTCCATTGGCCCACTTGGGAATTGGAGTGGATCGGTCGGTTCGGTCTGG